TTTCGCGGGGAAGAATCTTTGGCTGATGTCCTAAGACAGATTCTAGAGAGCAGACTCCATTTGCTTTAGTAGTTGTCTCAGTTTTATGCTATGTGTGTCTGTCTTCTCTGCGTCTGTGAGTCTGCGTGTCGCTTTTCCTTTCCCAGCCTTACCTGCAGCTCCTGAAGTGCATACTCATACTTCCAACCCAGCCAGCAGGCTTCATTGCACCATTATGCCTGTAATGGACAAACTTGGTCTCAAGTCCTGTCCTGAGTCCCATGTTCCCACTCCCCCTCTGGGTCCTTGTTGCCCTTGGCTGTGGTTTGTTTAACGGAGCGACTCCTGTCTGTGAGCAACCCAGAGCTCAGGACACAGGGAGACACTTGTCCAAACTTGCTATTTTTTCACCAAAGGAGCCAAACCACAGTGATGGGTTCAGTGGCCTGGCTGGGCACCTTCCTCATCCCTCCAGCCACTAGCTAGGCCTCCACTCCCCTGGCTAGCCCTAATTTCCAGTGGCCTCTGGTTCAGGACTTCTAGTTACCCATTGAGAGACCTTCTCAGTTGGAGTCTGGCCCCCAACATGAGGGGTGAAGGAAGATCTGGGTTCTGAGGAAGGAGCCGAGGCTGAGAGAGACACCCTGGGGACCAAAGGATAGTCCCACAGAGATCAGCACCCATACTACATTCATCCCTCTCTCCACAGTGCCTGGCACAGAATAGGTCCTAAAAGACTAAGTGAATAAATGGTTGAATGGATGAATGAGTAGATGGGTAACTCTGTAAATGGGTAGATGAATGAATGAATGTACGAATGAATGAATGAATGAATGAATGAATGAAGACTCTAAGATCCAAGTAGACATTCTGATCAAAAGCTAATCTGTTTCCTTGGTCTAAACATGGAAAGAAGGAAAGAGAGACACAGGTCTAGAAGGTTCAGCAATCTTACCCCTGAATCTAAAGGAAATCTTGTAGCCCAGGTCCTTTACAGTGTGTCTTTGAGACTCTACCGGAGGTCTGGTTGAATGAAACTGGCCTTTTCTCTATCCTCATGTCTATTCCTCAGGCTCCTTCTTACAGAGCCTTCTTTGCCTGCTAGAAAAAGTGCTCTGACGCTGGGCAAAGTAGCACTGAGTCAGGAAAGAGGTGGGTAGAACAAGATGAACCTCGGTTTGATGGGAGTGCCATGGAACCAGGGCCTTGGGACAAAGTAATCAGGGCTGGGGCTAGAGCAGTGCTATTTGGACCAGAAGATGGAAGACATTTCTAGGACCTGACACAGAAACTTGGCACATAGTAGGCATTTAGTATTTATTGAATGTATGTACGAATGAATGAATAAAACATTTCTATGTGCTCTTCTCCCTGGCTTATACATCAAAATCCTTTTCTAAGGAGTAGATTCTCCAGAGCTCTGGACCACTGAGGACCTTCCTCTGGGAGAATGAATTAGGGTCAGCAGGGTCAACAAAGAAGGACAATGTGTGCATCTCCACCCCTGCTAACCAAGGTCCCCCTCCCTCCCTTACCCTCATCCTCCTTCTCCGGCCCCACCAACAGTCACCATGGTGTTAATCCAGAAGCTGGGGGCACCAGGAAGGAGTAACAAAAAGCCATCGTGTGTGTGTGTGTGTGTGTGTGTGTAACTGTGACAGTCTCAAATGTGTGTGTGCGCGCGTGTGTGTGTGTGTGTGTGTAACTGTGACGGTCTAAAGCTCTGGCAAAAGGCCTCCTCACCCCATTGGCCAGGGCATAGGATGATATACAGGGCTGGAGAGTTTGGTTGGTGGCAGGTGATCCTCTGGTGGAGAGGGGAGGTGGCTTGGCTAATGAAATAGGCAGCAGCTCCATACCACCAAGGTCGGAGCTATGGTGCTCAGAGACCCCATTTAGGGGTCCCATCCCCCAAGCCAGGTGCTGAGATTTTCCGGGAAGGAAATGATCAGAGCTCCTGAGGACCTTGCTGCTGGGAAGTACTCCTGAAGTTTGATCACTATTCCCCACTGCAATCTGCCCCAGGAGGGTTCCAGTGGGAGATTTTTCTTAAAGCTTATGCATGGGCAAAACTAAATTAGACCTGGAAAGCCTGGGATTTGAGGCCTGAAGAGGCTTGCTTCTGGTCTGAGCCGAGTCCATTTTCTGAGCAGACACACAGAACTGTTGGCTCAGGGCAGGCAAGGAAAGGCCTTGTGAGCCAAGGGAAAACAATTAGGAGTAATTATCATCAAGAAAGGCCACCAGTGAGGGGTGAGGGTGGGAAAGGCCATCTGTTTAAGAGGAAGCTGAAAGTGGCAGGCTGGTTTTGGGGAAGAAATCGGAGAGAGAGTGTGGGAGGAAGGGTTGAGAGAGTGTGTTGTCTTTCTTTTCCAGTAAGAGTGGAGGACCCCTCCCCCCTCGCCTCTAGCTTGAACTAAGTTCACCTCACCCGGGGCACTGTGTATGGAGATGGGAGGGGGTAGCAGGAGGGTACAAGGCTGTGCATTCCTGAGATTCTCAAACCAATCAGAATGCGGATGGCAAAGGGAAATCCATACTGAGGGGATAGAGCATGAGACACAAACGTGAAAGACGAACCAGAACACTATGGAGCACCGAAAATGTCTCCACATGTCCCTACACACTCGCCCTTGATTCCTGAGACCTTGTGGGGATGAGCTGCATCTGCCTGGTGTCTCCCTACTCCCCACCCTTCGATCCTTAGTCCCACCCCTTTCTGGGTTAGAACCAGGGGCCTCAAAGGAAGCCTTGCTAATGTGGGCAGCCTAGAGCTGGGAAGGAGGGTGGGAGGCAACAAGGACAGTAGGGGAAAGGGTTGTCATGAGAAAGTGAAGAGAATTTCTTGGTACCCCTTTCTGGAGAAACCAAGAAAAAATGAACCCAAAGGCAGAGGGACCCTGCCATTCTCCTTGATCTTCCAAACTAAGGTGAAGAAATAACCCTGCTCTGAAGAGAAAAGAGGGAGGACTGGACGTAGCGACTCAGTAAAAGTTCTCTTCTCTGGTTTCACTGGTAGAGCCCAATGATATCTAGGTCAGGCACTTGCCCTGTCGACACAGAATATGCTGGCTGTGTGAAGCAGCAAATCACAGGGCTTTTGGGGGCTCTGAAGACATGTTCTTGGCTTGAAGTCCCTATTTCTGTCACTGACAATCTGTGAGACTTTGGGCAAGTTATTCAATCTCTATGCTCATTTTTCTCATCTGAGAAATGGGGATGATAATAGCACCTACATAATACACTTGTGAGGATTAAATGAGGTAATGTATATAAAGTGTTTGGCACACAAGGCTGGGGCCAGGGCCTTAATAATTGCTGACTTTTATTCTTATTATTGGAAGAAGATAGCTCTGTTAAGTAGATGATGAATTTGGAGCCAGAGACCCTGGGGGAGGTTGCACTGTAAATCAGACATGAGGAAGTGAGGACTAGAACAGGGTGGAAGCTATCAAAATGAAAGGGAAGCACAGCTCAGAGATGCTGAATAACATTCACTTTTTCAACAATTCTCTCCTTCGACTGCTCTAGGCACTTGGGATGCAGCATGAACATAGAATAGACATTTAATGAGAGAGAGAAAACAAGTGAGTGAATAATAGATATTAAATGCTACAGACCGATCTCATCTGATCTTGGAAGCTAAACAGGGTCAGGCCTGGTTAGTACTTGGATGGGAGACCACCTACTGCAGACGTAAAAAAACAAATAAAAATAAAATAAAAAATAAAAAAATAAATGCTACAGAAAAAAATGAAGTTAAGAGAGCTACGGAGTATAAGAAATAGGGTGTGGGGATGACATTCCATCAGAGCCCAGAGGAAGGGAGGAAGTAAGTCAGGAGGATAACTAGGGAAAAGGCTTCCAGACATATGAAGCAGCGAGTAGAATGGCCATGAGGTGGAAGCAAGGTTGGTTTGTTAGACAAACACGTAAGTAGGACTGTGTGGCCCAGACCAGTGAGCCATGGCAGAGTAGTAGGGGATAATTGGAGATAGAGGGCCACCAACTGAGCAGGGCCTCATAGGCCACTGTAGGCATAGATAATTAGCCAATGATGGGCTAATGGGAAATGGGGCACAGGTACACAGAAAACAAAACATTATTCCTGTAGTTCAGGAAGTGTCTAGAACACAAGTTCTTTAAGGAACACGAACCCCACTCCCTTGCCTTTGTAACTTTCTACAGCACCCAAGACCAAATCAGGCACCTGGGGAGTTGTTGGGGAACAGAGGCTGACTCTGACTCTCACAACCGGGCCCAGGACCGCACTGCGAAGGCACTTTGTCCAGGTTCAGTGATGGACATGCAGACCCAGGCAATTGTCATCTATCTTTAACCCCATTCAGGAATCAGGAAATAAGGGTGGTTTGAAGGTTTCCCTCCTCACTCCAACCATTTTCAAATGGCTGAAAAATCTTAACCATGCCTAAAAAAATGTTAGAACTCAAGAATGCCCTGAATACTACAAGGGACTCTTCTAAAAACACAGATGAAACCATTTCACCAACATAGTGGAAGATTTTTTTCAGAAGTCAGTGCTTTCTTATGTTTTATTCTTTGGAGTGTGAGCTTTACAGGTAGAGCAGAGGAAGCACCTTTTTGATGTTACATTGTGAGAAGGGGTGTAGGAGAGGGGTAAGGAGACAAGGGATGCTGTGAGCATGGTGGGTTGGAGCCCCAAATGGTGTGTTTGGCTCAGGAGGGCTCTCTGGCCAGCTCCACAGACAGACCTGGTTTTAAAAAGTGCCAGGGAGCCACAGATTTGCATGTTATTTGCGTTCAGGATTCAATTCCAGGTATGTGGAATGAAATGAATGAATGAACAGTATTCAGACTCCTGGTTAAGGGGTGGACTCAGGAATTCGGACCACATTGAGGATCCAATCACTGGTTCAGCTTGGATCAGGAGACACAGACAGACAGAGACAGAACAAACAGTCAGAGAAACAGAGAGACAGTCTTAGAGAGACAAACACCATCAAGTCTTTTTTTTTTACTAGGCAGTTTCCAGTCAAAGCAAGAGAGCAAAATCCAGAATTTATTTTAAATAAATCACCTTTTAAAAACTAAGGAGTCACACGTATATTGGCAGATAAAGGTAACATCATCCCTGACTTCTCTCCACCTCTGCCCCTCTACCACCCATATCCAGCTTCACATTGGACCCTGTGCCTAGGAGGAGCCTGCCTTCTCGATAAGGTACATTGCTTGGTGTCTGTCAGCTTCCTAAATAAGTTAGACTAGGAGGTCCTTGGGGACAGGTGGCTTTTATTTCCTTGGTCAAACCATCTCTTCATTCCATCCGCCAGGCACCCAAGCCAGGCACTTAAACATATGCTTATTAAAAACCTAGCCTAAGGGGCTCCCCAGAAGTATAAAGCAAATGCCCTCCAGGAACTTAGCTCCGGCTAATAGACAAGGCACAGGCAGCATGTAAAACAGTCCATTTAAAGGAAAAGGCAGACAGGGACCCATAGTCTCAATCTATGTGATATACTCTTATCACTGAAAATAAAAAGATGGAGAAAACTATAAATAATAGCAATACACATGGTTAGGGGAGAAAGAAAACTTTGATTAGCCCACTGGGATAGAGGTTGAGACCCCTGAAGGGCATACCGAACTGCTGAGGAAGGTGTTTTGTATAGGACAGAGTGGGCATTAGGTTTGGGACCAGAGATGAACTGTTGGGGATCACAGATGAGGTGTAGCCTCACTGCAGGCTGCCATGAGCAGTCCTTCTTCCCCCAAGTGCTGCAATAGTCTTTCTGAAATGTTTAATCGAGATGCCCCTAACTCCTCTCTGGCAGGCCAGAGAGACAGCTTACACTCCTGGATTGAGAAAAAAAGCACCAAAATCATTCACCTGCCCTCAGTGGTGACATGTCTCAGTCTATTCCTGATGTAAAAGACAGGTTACAATACAAATACCATGTGGAGTTATTTTCTGATTATAAGGGCTGCAGATGTCAAGATAAGAGATATTATAATATTGTGAAAATGGAAGGCTTAAAGGAGATGGGACTTGGATGTGTGTGCTCTGTAGGTATTTGTGAAAAGAATAAAAGAGTAATTAAATGAAGGACACCTAGCAGATTGGACTCTGGGCTCCTTATGTACCTCTCTGCCACACACTTTGCCTTCCTAGCACTTATGTTCTGCAGAGGGTGGAAGGATACTTTCCAGAAGTCAAGCAGTTGATGGTGGCTACTCAGCTGAGAATGGAGAAAAGTCAGCAGCTATAATCTGTCCTATTAGGATAAGACTGACCTGGGCCTTAACTCTTAAGACCAAGCCAGTAATAACATTGGCCTTAAACTTTTAATTTTGAATCTCTACCTTGACCAATATCTATTTCAAGCATAGTGACCCTAACATTTCAGAATCTGACTTTGACAAGACCCTGGAAATCTGGTCCAACCCCTCACAACTAGAATTATCTCTACTCTAACCATGACTGGCCAGAGAGGCAGATCATACTAACACTTCCTCAAGGTTTATCTTCTAGCTCAGTTTCTTATTTTCTCTTTTCTCTCCCACAGGGGATGCATATGTGTTATCCCTTATCTTGGTGGGTGACCATCATGACATGCCCTTATGTCCTTCCCCTCCTCCAAAGCTGGGAATGGTAGTCACGGTTCTTAATACACAGATGTTGGGATTCATCTCAGCTAAAATAGGCCCTGGACTGTAAGGAAGAAACTGAGCTGAGCCTTGTCTATTGCAAAATTTTAGGAGGAATTTGAAGCTCTGGAGAAATTGTTTCTGGAGATACGGCAACTTTCCCAGGAGCTCAGCATGTAGCCCGTTTGAGTCAACAATGGGGCCTGATAGCCTTTTACTTCCCTCTCTCTCATGGGTATATAAAGTCAAAGGGGAAAACCATCACATTCCACTTCATCTTGGCCTATACAGGTGGAGCAAGGGAGAAGACAAAGCCCAAGTGTCATCTTTCTTAATCTGGCAAGACATATTTGAGAGCAGGAGGGATGGCAAAGGAGGACCAGACTGAAACAAAAAAAAACACTGGAGCTCTTAAATGAACTCTCTCTTTCTACCCATTAGAGCCTTTTCATGGGCATGTAAAACCAGGTGGTGATGGACAGGCTATGGGATGGGGTTGCTGGAAATGCTCTTCCAGGTTACCTCTGTTTCTACCCCAAGGCCACTAAAACATGGGGACTAATATTGCTAGTGTCAGTGGGTAGATGCTAGCATGATTACAGGGGCTAAAGAAGTTGATATCACAGAGAAGTATGAAGCACTTCACATATAGAGCAGTCAATTTACAAAGTCTCCAGGCTAGATAAGGAAAAATTCATTCAATACTAAAGAGGACCCTGGGAACGACAAGTGGGTTCCAGATAACAAATGGGATGGAACTGGCCTCTGTGCCTTGGACCATGTATTTTCAGAAGGTCAGGAATGGTCTATCTAACTTTCTCTGTACAGGGCCCAGGACTGATTGTTGGGACTATGATTTCTGTTGAAGCCTCTATAACTGACATCTAGAGCTTACTGACACTCAGATGTTCCTTTTTGAGGGGAGGTAGGTGACTATGAGCACTGAATACAGGGTAGAGAGGAACATAGGAGAAAAGGAAAGCAATTGGCTTACTTAGTTTAAAGCAGGTTAAACAAGATATTGGTAACATGCCTTTGGCCATGGAATACAGGAATGTCCTTTTTTTTTTTTTCCTGGTCATCAAAGCCCACCCTCAAATGAAGGCAAAAGTTAAGTTTCCAGATGCTGGCCCTGCTCTCATTGGCTAGCCCTCTGGAAAGACTGGCTCACTCTAACAGTCTGTATTTGGTTCCCACTGAGCCACATAGGCCACAAACTAGTTCTCAGCTTGGCCCACTCCTACCATGAAGGTGGTTTCAGGATCACTGACTCCTACCTTGTATAAAACTGTATTGGTCAGAAAGGGGGACCAAGTTCAGACAGGTTCAACAGTCCTTATGTATTTTTCAAGGTGCTTTTGTTGCATGTTTCATTTTCTGCTACACATGGCAATAAATATTTGTTGCTTTGGTCTACAAAAAGTCTGTGAAGGAAGTAAGACAGATGTTATCTAAACAAACAATCAATACAGAGAAGTATCTTGCTCTGAGTCCCCCAAACAACAGCAAGAGAGACTGAAAGACTCAGGCCTTTTGATTCATATAGTCCAAGTCTATATCATACTGCCACTTTTCAAATTGTCACTTAAATACATTAAATACCGAGTCAATGTTCAGGAGTCCTACAATAAGTCTGCATGTCATTGCTTTCTAAAAGAGAAATGTGAAAGGTCCCAGCAACTCATATATAGGAAGCTATTTATTTCCTATAGAAAACACCAACCAAAAAAAAAAAAAAAACAAAGAAAGAAAGAAAGAAAAAGAAAGAAAGAAAGAAAACAAACAAACAAAAGGTGGTCTTCTCCTAAAAGGCAGGCAGTTATGAAAAGGGTAGGACATCTAATTGCTGGAGTGGAAACAGTAACATTCAGTTAACAATGGAATATTTAAAAAAAATAGTCTTTTTTTTTTTTTTTTCCCCAAATTGTAACCTGTGGTAAAACATAGAAAAATGTACTAAACAAGCTTGGTATAAAACAGAGTTAAATTTTCAAATAAGCCCAAGGAGAAAGCACAATGCTGGAAAGGATGGGGTACAAGGGAAGAGGAGAAAATATTTCATACAAAACTACCTATTACAATACACAAAAAGTATAAAATGTTCCTATTTTGGAACTTAAGTACAAAAATGACACTGGCATTGGATCATTTCACTATCTAGCCTGAGAAACGTTCAGAGGGTGGGGGAGATGCTAGAAAGAACAAAAGAAATAGCAGTTTTTTTAAATTTCGAGTTGATCAGTCCAAATTCCACCCGTTTTCCAGTTGAAAAATCTCACCTCTCTCTTAAACCTCTACCCCCAAGCTAAAGTTCACCCAGGCCTCAAAATATTCTGTTAGGAAGTCCACAAACACCCTACACATAGGGGCTGGGATGTGTGCGTGCTGGAGCTAAATTTGGAAAATGGAAATAAATCTACAGGCCAAAATGGTAAACACATTCAGCCTTAAAAAAAAAAAAAAAGCATATCCCTGTGAAATATATATATATATATGTGTGTGTATATATATATATATTAAATTCTCTGTGGTTAGAAACACATTTAAACTAACTAGCCACAGACCACACTAGACTTGCATTCATCCAATGCTGGAATTTTATGCTAAAGACTGAGGTCCTTCTTCTTCTTGGTCAGAAGTAGGCGGTAATAAAAGTGGTGCCTTGTTGCTCCACTAAACCGCTCCCTGGGTGGGTCTTCCCCATATCATGTGTTGTGAGCACATGCAAACCCCTGCTTTTAAGAAAAGGACTGCCTGGGACTTTGGGGTCTACCCAGGACTCATGTGTTGTGCCTCAGGATGGAAAGAAGCTACAGATGATAAAACAGCCTTGTACAGAAGCAGAAGAATTTCACAAAGGTGCATATAAATAGGAAAAGTCCCAGAGGGACTTATGTATGTGCCCCAAAGTCCAGTTTACAGTCACTTTCCTGACGACACATCTTGAAAATCATGTGTGTATGTATGTGTGCGTGTATATGCTGGTGGTTTTTATCCCTACCTTTTTCACCCATGCCCTTTCCTACCTCTTAATAAGGCCTAACAACAAGAGTTTATATGAAACCAAGAGTCTTTCCAAGCTTCTCTCAGTCCCCTAATTAGGGACTGAGGGAAGCTGGAGCCCTTTAAAAACAAGATGGCAGAACTGAAGAAGTGAAAAGCAGTCTCTCTCTTCAGCTTAGGGATGTCCCTCACCCCTTTCACAGCACCAAAGTTTCTTTGCAAAAATAGTATCTGAGATACAAAAGGAAAGGCAGATGTGCTTGTGAATGCATCTCGCCAGGGCCTGGTCCAGGGTCAAGGGCTTTACAAGAACAGAGGATTGGGAGCAGCTGTTTCCAAGGTCTCTGGCTGTAGACAACAAAGAGCTGGTCCCCCACAATGTCAATGTCTGCTAATTGAGACAGTCTTCACAAGAGCTTTCGGTGGAGGATCTCCCAGACCATTCGCTTCCGGAAGTATGGCATGTGTTGCTGTAGGAATACAAAGACACCTTAATTTTCATATCTTTTATCCACACTCAATACTCCTTTCCCCATAATCTTTTCCTCCTTGAGGTTTTCAACTAAAATAGTCTCAGTTCCATTTCTGGCCTTTCGAATTGCTCATTCTTAATTACATGTGACTTTTTTTCTTTCCATTGCTTTTCTCTATTGCTATCTCTCTTGCTCTTTTTCAATGTTGTAGCTTTAGAAGTTTTATTGGGCACTGCCAGGTGTCCTCAAGGGATACCCAAATGTCTCCAAGAATTTTGAGAATGATGTCTATCAAGTCCTCTACATTGAAATCTTAAGAGGATAGGTGATCTGAAGCCTGTAAATCAAAGTCACTTTTTAGGTGAAGTGTTAATGGGAACTGCAGGAGTCAGTTCCACCCAAGGGCTATGGTGGAAAAATCCAGTAAGGCTGCTAATTCAAAGAGAAGTAAAGAGTTAAGTGGAGGACATAGAATAAACTATAATCTCTAGTCTCAATTCACTTTGGTCTCTGAAGGACCACATGGACAGAAATAACCAATCATAAACTAAGAGAAGATTGATCAGCTACATCAAGTGAGGAACAGAGGCAGCGTAACAAATTATTCTAGGAGATTTAGGTGTAGCATGTTCCAAATTCTGACTGCTAACAAATGAAAGGAAACTGAAGAAAATGTGCTCTTGTCTCAATTGTTTCTCATAGGATTTTAGGTAGTTGGGGGTGATGGGCAGAAAAGAACTCTCTGCTATCGACCAGGATTCCTTGACTTTAACATGTGAGGACCTAGGATGTGGCCTACTATTGTCCTTTTTCTTGTGATATGGCACAGGCAGTCATCTCCAGTGTTGCAAGCTATAGGCTGAAGCAGAGTCCTCTCAGAAAAACACCTATGGGACAGCCTAGAGAAAGGGTAGTCATAGAGCTCCCTGCTAAGGCTCAGCTCACCTGGGTGAAGTTGATTGGTCTGTCTTTGGTAATACAGTCGGCATATTTGCAGGCAAACATCCCACAATCACTTCCATTCATCTGTTGTGGAATTTCCTGAAAGACCAAAAACAACAAGTGACATCTTTCCAAGATTCTTTCCTTCTGATTAGACTATAAAAATAAGAACCAAAGGACATAAATTTTACAGGGTTCCCTAAATTTTGAAAAGATGATCCTTGTTCCCCACTTAAAACAACACAGGCTCAGAGAAAAAAAATATAGCTTCTCGGTCATGCCTGTGTACTTCATTACTAATCACATAGGAACTACTTGAGACTTCCATGGCAACTAAGGGCGTAAAAACTGGTCCCTCCCACAAGGGCCAAACAATTAGCAAACATGTCTCACAGCAGTGAAAATCTTAGCAAAACAGCTGGGCATTTAAAAAACCTAGTTCTACATAAGAAACGCATTACCAGTTTTCCTACAAGTAGCTTACTCTATCTTCCCCAAGGAACCAAACAACCAAGCCTAAGTCAGGATAGACACTAAGAGAGAAGGTCCTTGGGGCTCAAGCAGTAAAATCCTTTCCTTCCCAAATACTCTTATGCTGGGATTTCTCTCTCATCAAGATAAAATGTACCTGGCTTTTCTTGCTGAAGAGCTGCCAGCCATTGGTGTCAAACTCTTTCCTTTTCTTATCAATGCTTTCTTGCTTTAAGTATTGCCTAAAGGTATTGGGAGAGAATGAGATGAGCTGTGGGGAACACTGATGACAGCTGCCACCCAAAGAACAGGGCTGACAATCCTTAGGAAGACTTTTCACATGCACTTCTGAGGAAAACTGTATGTAATGCTGGGCTAGGTATCTTTGGACTACTAAGCTTCCTTCAAGAACTCCCACAATTCATGCCCACCTTGTCAACAACCCAAAAAAAAAACATGACCTCTGCCTCTGATACCCAGGCTCCTCTACCTATTGTCACTCCTGAGGAATGAGTTTTGATTCTTTTCATTGGTTTATATAGTCCTTTAGAACTCAGTCTAATGGAAGAATGATGTTTCTCTAGCAATATCGAAATATTTATTTATAATTTTTAGTCTTGAGTCTCCTGTGCAAAAATTCAATCCAAATTAACAATTTGCTAAGCGCAGGCATACCTCATATAAAGCACTCTTCTTAAGAGCAAACTGCTCACCATTCTGGAACCTACACCCTCCTGGCCACCAGAGTGATATAGTGAGGAATAAGCATTTCAAGGAGTGGGAAATATAACAAGATTTGCATTCTGGTTCCTAGCTCAGCCACTAACTAATAGAACCTGGGCAAATTAAAGTCGTTCTGTGGGTCTTGGTATCTTCATCTGAAAAATTAGGAGGTTGGATTAGATGATTTCTAAGTAGTTTCTATACCTACATGTATATATCCACTCTATATTTTAGTGATCTAGGACAGTAACTGTCCCCATTAGGGCATATATTTGTTATTACTTTATTATTTTAAACTTTAATTACTTAGACTTAAAGTATCCATTCTTAACATGATTTCCTTTATTAATCACTCCACTGAAAGTATCAAAGAACTGAGTTCAATAGCTGGAAGACACAACATATACCCAACACTAAATTCTTCTGTCTTCAACTCCCTACTCACATGAGGATCCTGCAGGCTTCATTGTTTATCCCACCCATAGAGTCGTAATAGGTAATATTCTTCTTTCTAAAGTCCACAACCTAGGAATCAAAAAAAGAAAAAAAATATGTGTTTATAAAGTGAAGAAGACTGGTTTCTCAGCTTTTCCCTTCCCTAGAACTTGGAACTTTTTGCCAGATTTTCTGTGAAATATGACAAGTTTGACTGATTTTTCCATCATACCATGCTTTACCTGCAGAGGACAGAACAGGGGGGTTATTTACATAGAACTAGAGTGGGGGCTGATCAACTGGTGGCCCCATTAATTGCCTTAAAACCTTTTTCTGTATTCAGGTTCCCCATCTACAGTGTTGGCAACAGTGAAGATACAATGTGCTCTTCAGAAAATATAAGCTGACTGAGATCATTTCCACAGTTTCAGAAAGATGGCAACAGATTCTGGGTTTTGTTTCCATACCCAAGAATTTCCTTTTGGCTTTATGTTTTTCAAATGTAATTCAAAATAGTTTGTGAAATAACTTTTATACTTTTATTAATACATTAAGCTAATATGTCCATGTTCTCACAGTCAAAAAATATTAAATTACCAAGTACACAAGGCAAGTCATGATTAAGCAGAAAATAACAGTCACAGAATCTGAACTGGCAGCATCATTAATAAGTCACTTTATCTTTCTATTCCTTTCCTTGAGACTGCTTAGACTTATAATGCCTTTTTAAATATTTCCAGAAAAGGAAATTCTACAGCTTTCTTCAAAGTCTAAGTATCTCCCACTTTTGATAGGAAATTCAATGATCTATCCAATTTTTAGCCAACTAAATAATATTCTTCTCTCAATCCTCCAGTGAAGATATAGAATTAATACTCACTACTTTCTGTGTATTCTATAATTATATAGATTCCTTTTAAATTTTATCAAAAACAAAAGGGCACTCACAGCAAGACACCAGTGCACTCCCAGGTGAATGGGCACCAAAAGAATGTCAACAGAAAATATATCCACTTTCTTTGTCCAACGTTTCACTGCCTGGTAACCAGCCGTTTTTAACTTAGTGAAAAAAAAGGTATTAAATGCATGTACACTTGGCAATCCTTTTTCTTTACTTCGCTCCATTAGCATATTCATGTAGAAATTGATGATCTGTGGGAAGAAATTATATGAATTAAAATACTCAAGCCTTTCAAAATAGTTGTGTTATATGAAGGAAAAGCAAGTGCTGTACTGTTGCATGTGTTATTGTTTCCTAATCAGTACAGTTAAGACTTTAACACCCAACATCCTCATGTCCCTATATCAGATTCTGACTAGACGGGAAGGGGGTTGAGACTGTTATAAACAGTGAAAACAGAAAAAGATAATGATGGGGTTAGAGATACGTATGGGCAGACGCTGGCCAGAAGATTGAGGATTAGGTCAAAAGACTGCAGAACAAGGAGGAAGGGGTGATCGAAGGTGTGACTTAGAGGAAAGGAAAGGAAGATCTACAGTAGTTTAATAAGGCACATTATTAGTTACTGTAACCTATTGGGACTGTCTGAGCAATTTAAATACATCCTGAGCTTAGTTAGGACCTAGTATTAACAAGGCTAAGACCAAGAGTTCAATCCTTACATGTGAGGCATCTGGTTTTGCATGAAGATAGAAAACTCTGCTCCATGGCTAAATGTAACCTTTTCAGCCTAAAAAGCCATCTTGCAGAAGCTATCTGTTTTGGCCTCAAGTGCACCTGAGTGACAGGATAAGCCATCCACTGTCCCGGAAAAAAATACCTCTAAACTGATAGTAGCTCAGCAACATCACCTTTTATAGAGGCAGATATGGATGAAATATAAAAATCTGTATTACATGAAACTTGAAAGTAAAGCCACAAAAATGAAAAGTTCTCCCCGGAATCTATATGGTTAGCTTTCTCATTTTTGTTGATTTTATTTATGCCTTCAATATCAAGTATGAATGAAAGAAATTAAAATGCTTGATATAAGAGATATGTGATTCTCTCTGTTAATGAAACAATGTGTTCTCTAACAGTGACTATGTCATCCACGGTTCCTTTAGGTCTAGGACTCTTTGGTACTAAAGCTTGAAAGTACTGGGCCGGAAGCTGCTGCATACTTACTTTATGTGGTCAGATGAGGCTGGGCCAGTGTCTGTCAACTGCAAGGAATGAATGGGCTAACTGATCTAGAGCTTGGAAATATGACTAAGAAAACAGGCACATTTTTCAGAATGCTTTTTGGGAAAGGAAAAATGTCCCTGTCCTCTGACAAATATTTACACACTAGGATGCCAGAGCAATGAGCTACTGCCTAACAGTAGGCAACTACATACTGGGTAGGCAGCAGGGGCCACTGCCAGGAACACACCAGAGCATGGTCTAGACTAGAGAAAGGGCCTATAGATGAGGATGCCCCAGCAGCTGCAGGGAAACCACAGTTGCCATGAGGCAGAACTCTGGGGGAAGAAGGGTGCAGAGGAAGGCTAGGATTGAAGACACTGTTCTGCCTGCATCTCTGACGATTGAGCAACATGCCCAGCAGGCCCAGAGGAGTTAATTCTCTGCCTAGTGTGATCCTCAATAGATAACTGCAGCTCAGTTATTTTAAATAATGATAATGAACCAAGGCACAATTAAGATTATAGATTTCTCAGTCTAGGTTTCCAATCTAACTCTGACCCCAAGGATAACGGTACTAACGATGCCTCTAGGAATGAAGGCAGGCAGGAATACAGGAAGGTCTGCCTAACAAGCACAGACTTCTAGGCTCCATTCTCTAGTGAGAGAAAGTCAGCAAGAAGGGATTGCTCTGGTGTTCTACCCATCCCACAATATTAGCTATGTTATGAGGCTTAACTCTTCAATTCAAGGGGTGAACTGAATGGGCAGATGACCTGCCAGTCACGGTAAACCAATCCTTCCATGGGGCAGACAAGTTCTGTATTATAACAGGCAACGAGGACTCAAGGGAGAGGTGGAAGGAATCAGGCAGAGAGATAAGAACAGCCAAGCACATGAAAGCCATGGAGATATTTCTCCCCAGGTGCCCATAAAGGTAATTATGACCCATGGGATAATTACACTTAAGTAAAACAGGATGACATAAATGAGTGTCATGCTACACATGACTATGCTATTTTTCAGGAGGAAAGAGTTCTAGAAACCAGTGAAGTTTAGCTGGACTTATGCAGCCTAGGTTGTTTGGTTTTTTTATCTGGACTATAAAGCTAAAGACCAACCCAGCTGAATGGGAACAGAAACCTAGCAAACAGGATACCACATTGTCTGTTTCCTTTGAGAATCACTCTTCCATTGCTTTAGCTCTGCCTCCAACCAAGATTTCTCCAATGAGAGGGAAACAGCCTCCTCCAAAGTCAGCTCATTAATTGCTCTTTTTCCCATTTAGGAGGAAAAAAAAGTGCAGCTCCCATTAAGAATGCTACATTTTCTAGGATTTGACATTTTCAGTGACTGAACTACTAAAAACAGAATGCTATAAATAGAATGATGTAATTTGTTTCCAAAGACTATTGATATACCAGAGTGATGCAAAAATATAACAAAAGCAAGATATTTCAAGGCAACTTTGGGAGTAGGGTTAGGATTGTAATCCATGAGTTATCTCTGGGTAACCGGGAAAAGTGTTATTCTAAGGAGTAATCTGGGTTCTTTTTCATTTCTCCTGCATCCCAGTAGGAGGGAGACTAGTGGCCTCAATGTTCCCTCCCATTAGCTAAGGATGTGTAATCTGACATCTGAGGCAGAATTTAGATCCAAGTTTCTCTCTTCAGTTTTTCAGCTATTACTCTGTCCGAATGAGGAAAATTGCCATAGTTCAACCAAGACACAATCATACCAAAAATACAAGCTAGGAGTTAGAAAACAAAAAGAATCCTACATGTCATCTCACAGAGGAGGGCCGAAGATGAAGGAAAAAGAAATGAGAGAAGGGATCACAGTGCTTAAGATGAAAGAGAAGCAGTGATGGTCAGAGCATATGCTTGAATTCTGTGAAGACAAGGGTCGCTTCCCTCCCATGGTGAGAGCCTTTCTGCATACAAAACTCTCTTAGCTCCAGAAGATCTTGAATTTCCTTTGAAATAGGAAACTAAAAGTAGTAAATCAACCCTGGGCCTACTGTTTGTCTTGCCAATAATATAAGCATCTGAGGACAACTGCCACTGTTGATCCAATTGTGACTCTTCTGGGGGCACACACTTGCCTCTGTTTGCTTGCTGTAGCTCCTGGTGCCTAAGGAGCTACCCTTTTTGCACCTTCATAGCCTTGGCCATGAGCGCCTGCTTGTCTATGCAGTCCTATTTGGGGGTAGGATGGATGTTTATAGTTGTCTTGTTCCTTTGTGATTTTATTTGAAGAGCTGCCAGGCTGAAGCTGGAAAAAGCTTCTTTAAAAGAAAAGCCTACAATGTTTTCAAACTAAAGACTCAATCCTTTTCCTGTATGTTACCACAATAACATAAATGACCACTGCTATTTGTATCTTCCTTCTTGCCCAGTAAGCCAGCCAAACTATTGCTTTCTCATGCATTTAGAAGTAAAATATTTCACTAACAGTAAAGTCTTGACTTTTAACGCTTCCCAGTTTTATACTCTGAACCCTTCTAACTGGCTTAGGGAAAAAAATGTTCTAAAAGTCCTGGGAATGACAGTGCTTCTGAGCAGGGACCAAGACAACTTTTTTCAGGGGAAAAGGCTGTTTTTCCTATTTTACCTCTATAGATTTACACCTTGATCTTCCATTCTGATTTTTAAATTCAATCTATCTGAGTCAGCCACAAAGCCCAAAAGATTAACCAAGAAGCAGCACTTGAATATTATGAGTCAGGTCATTCACTAAGATTTAACCTAATAATATTATAAAAACCAAGGTGGCAGACTTTGGGTAAGCTCTGTGTATTGCATTCCTCACTGTGAACATGTATCCAGGATTTTTCTCACATGCAAAGTCAAGCAGCTAATTATTAGAATTATTGCTAAAGTTTTAGAGAAAGATAGACAGGTAACACCTACTTTTATGGAGTCATAACTGTGATTACTATTTTCTCTGTGACACCACATAAATCCCAGGTTAATTAAAGGACTAGTTTTACTAACAAACATTTTAAAGAGGTAAACTACAATGATGTAGAATCTATCAATGAGTCACACTAGAAATGCTAAAACTTTCATTCTGATCATTTTATTCCACATGTTAAGAGTGCATAATGTAGCAGACCCATCATAGTCTATTAACTAATTTATCTCATGTTGTCGTCTTTTTTTCTTTTCCTTCTTATGCAATCAGTTTTTATTCCCTAAGGAAAATCTATTCCCTGTGCTAGGTTTGTCCAGTTGAACTTAATGTTTTGCAAGCTGTTTCTTCTTTATTGAGCATCACTTAAATTTAACTGCTCCTTGGAAACAGAGAGCTATGACTATTACCAATTCCCTATTTCCACTGAAGGTTTGTGTTCTGAAAGTCAGAATGCTAGATAAAGTTATGTGCTCTGATTCCAGATCCTGATTCTGCAATAAAAATCAGGTGACATTGGTATATATAGAAAGTCTTTTACTTCTCTACTATCAAGAATACTTTCTCTATACACAAGGCTACTGTAATGTTAAGTAGCTAAGACATCTCTTTCTTTTCAGAGATGAGACTTACAAATTAGGCAATTAGTCTGCTGGCCAGCTGTCATTAGTATAATTACAGTCTATGTAGATTCTACCTTAATTCCTCCTGCACTCCCTCACTCCCCATATTTGCTAAGAGTCTTTTCCTCATGGCCTTTCCCCAGCCAGTAAAGTTAGAAATACAATATTCCAAGAGTCTAATACTTTTGTATTTTGGAAACAACTGGCAATAATTACTATGGGTTTGCAAAACAGAACCAGAAAGAGACATGTCAGCTTGCTATTTTTCCAATTCATCCATGTAAATTAGTAGTAAGAAATGACAGGTCCTAGAGGGAAAATAACGAGATGAGAAATGCTAAATTTTTGGGATCTGTTGCTCTAAGTTTTCAAATTGGGAAAATCTTCATCATTGTTTCTTAATTTTTTTATGACATCACTTACACCTCACCTTTCCTTCTGGGACTCTAATTACATCCTTAGAATGCTGGATATTTTCCCATAGCTCACTAATACTCCAGTCATCTTTCTTCAGCCTTTTTTCTGTGTTTCACTCGGATGGTTCCTTTGCTATATCTTCAAGTTCATTAATTTTTTTCTTCTGCAGTTTCTGATTTACTGTTAATCTCACCTCATGTATGTTTTAATTCGGATACTGTATTTTTCATCTCTACGATTTCAGTTTGGGTCTTTTTTCAATTTGGATCTTTCTTCTCTTCTATAATGTCCATTTTTCTTTACCTTCCTGAACATAAGGGATATGTTTATAATATCTGTTTTAATATTCTTACCTGCTAATTCTATAATGTTTGTCATTTCTAGGTATTTCCGGTGACTAGTTTTTCCTTTTGTTACAAGTTGCATTTTCCTTCCACTCTGCATGCCTGGTAAGTTTTGACTGGATGCTGGACATTGTAAATTTCATGTTGTTGGGTTTTGCTGTAACTAGAACTTGTTGTATTCCTTTAAATATTGTTGGGCTTCTGTGAAGTTACTCAGATCAAACTCAGGCTTTTAAAACTTATATTTAAGATCTATTACCATGGGTCCAGAGTAGCCTTTATTCTAGGGCCAGTTTGGCCCCACTCCTGAGGTAATATCATTTTGAGGAATCTAGATAATCAATGCCCTATGACTTTTCCACTCTAGCTGGCTGGAACATGAACTATTCTTGGCATCTGTGTTAGCTGTGAGGCTTGTTCTGATTTCTTCTTCCTGGTGGTCCCCAGCCTCTGGTAGTTTCTTCCCAAAAATGTACAAATGAGTACTCAAAGATTCAAGGGGGGACCTCTGCACATTTTTGGAGCTTTCTCTTTATGCAGCAACCACCCCTCCAGCATTTTACCTCACAATCTTAGCCACTTTGGCCTCCCCAAACTCTGAACTCTGTCTCCTCCATGTAGCAAGACTGTCAGGGACCACTAGGTTTTACCAGCTCTCTGCCCTCAACACAGAAACCCAGTAAGCTGGGGAAATTATAGGCTCATCTCTTTCTTCTCCCTTCTTTCAGGGATTATTGTTAGCCAACACCTGAAAATTGTTTTATGTTTAATCTAGTTTTCTATTTAAGTTACAAAAGTAAATCTGATCTGTTTTAGTCTATCATGACCCAAAGCAGAAGTCAGATACATTTACTTGTATGCCTAAATAATTTCCATGGGTTTCTAAATTTATCTGATGCCTTATAAAAAAACTCTTAGACACTCTAAGCAGTAGAATCAGACCATAAAGGGAAACACAAAGCCCAAAGCAGTCCTCTCTTCATGATCATTAACCTAGAATCTTAAAGTTGGATTCCAGAAGTTACTCAATTCAATCTCTAGGAATTAATAAATGATTTCTAGTATTGATATACACTTTAAAATATTCTCGTTTCTTGATTGTGCCTTTCAATTTTTTTCAACTAATTTCTCCTCTCTTTTTACCTTCTTCCTCCCTTAATTAGATATTTCTATTAATAACTGATCACCAGACCCAGTATAGAAACCCCCATGTATAATGTCCTTGATATTGTCAGTCTTCCAGCCTCTTTTTGTATTCTTTACAAGGCAGCCATTTCCTACATTTCATTTTTGAGAAGTTCTAGTTTCTTACAGTAAGGTAAAATATCCTTCCTGTCAATCATTAGTCCTTTGAAGCTATGCAGAATTTAACTACTCACTATAAAAATTCATTCATGAAAACATGTTTGAAAGCCTATTGTATGAACAGGCAGTGTGGCCTATGCTTCTTTTAGGAAAGAGACCAGAGAAAGGGTAGCTTAATGGCTTTCTGTGCATATCCCAAATATAAGACTTCTGGATTTTATTTTCCTTATAAACTAAATCTGATCCCTTTTGCTTCCAGGATCTTATACTCCTTGGCTATAAAATGGTAAAAATAATTTTTCAGTCACCTTATTTTGGAGAAAGTTTTAATTCAGCTTATAAAACTGACAAGAGATACAAAAAGATGAGAAATGGTTATTAATGGAAATACCCATTTCATGAATGGTTATTAATGAAAATCCTATTTGAGAATAGGATTAAAGAGATGACAAATTACTTGCAAAAGACAACTGAGAGCTCACAATTGAGAAACACAATTTTTAAATGAGTACAACTACTTAAGGATAACTACTAATTCCTCATCAGAATGTTAGCTTCTCAACGGCAAAAACTTTGAAAGCCTGAGAAGTGTGGTACTTTGAAAGTAGTACTTTTTTAAATGGTTATCATCATCATGGACATGTGACATGCTTTCAAGGTTACCATTATTTTGAACTCAGAAGACAAGCACTCTCTAAAAAAGTTATGAGTAGGTATGGCAGAGATAAAGTAGACAAGGACTCTTTCCTTCCCCTCATCTCTTCTGAATAATGTAATTTCCATTGACTTTGCTTGCTAAAAATCCAGCCTCTGATGGGCCCAGGGAATGGAAAACACATCCTGATGAATGCCACCTCTGTAAGGGATCACTGAGGTAATGCCACAATAAACAGCAAGAACTCAGCTCATATCCTACTCATTGCTGCCCCCTAGAAGGTTTTGCATAATTTACAATAAACAGGCTACGATCCCCGTAGAATAACTGACTCCTTCCCTTTTGGCAAGTAGCAGGCAAAAAAATGGCAAGAGACCACAGATTAACGTCTCCAAATCAAAAACACTAATAGATGGATATTTCTGACTGTCCTTGATTTTCATTTTGCCTTCAGATTTGGTAAGCTCTTTCTTTTCCTGCTATTTTATCCAATGTTCTAATATCACTATTCTGAGCCAAAAAAAGCAAGGGTGGTTCCCCCTAAAACAAGACAGTATCAAACCATACCTTCGTTACTATTCTTGGTTGGTCAAAGATACTGCTCAGAAAATGATAGACTTCTATAATTTATATCTTATAAACTCACCAGTGGCAAAGAGAATGGGGCCAGTCCAGCTGGTCCTAGAGAAAAATCAATATCCTAGGCATGACATATGCTTCTCAAATTCTATACAAATAATCCTAAAACAGGATCCAATTTAAGATTCTGAGGCAATATTATATAATACATAAAATCCAGCACTTGGTTCTGAATCCTGGCTCTGCTACTTACATGTAACTTTACAAGTTTCTTAATCTTTCCATGTCTTGTTTCTTCATCTATAAAATGGACTTAAAATTAACGTATCCACCTCCAAGGACTGTGGTGACCATCACATGAATAGAAAACATAAAACACTTATAACAGTGCCTAACATGAGGTAAATGCTCAATAAATGTTAGCCGATATTATTATTTGGAAGGTCCTAAGCATATAAGACCAAGATATAGGTATCTAGACTACCTAGTGCTTACTATACTGAGTATCTAAAACTCCTCCATTGGTATGAAGCTTGAGTACAGCCAAAAATATCAGGCAGGGATGCTCCTAGTGGGCCTAAGAAAGGAGGCAGGTACTTAGGGAAAAAACCCACCCCAGTTTTCTTCTTTTGCTGTGAAAATGTTCTTCTGAAATAAAATAGGCTCCTATAGGTTTAGGAATAGGACAGATCAGTTTAAAAACTGTAGTATAATCAATTTACTTAAAATAATTAGAACTCTCAGGAACTGAGGGCCATAATTTTGTTTTTTAACCCCAATATTTAGAATATCTAATGTAACTTTTTCAATGTCAGTTTTAAAAATACCGTGTACAAATGTAGGCTATTCTAGAAAGTTTATCACTCATAACCTAAGTGACCTAGAACAAGCAGACAAAAGGGGAAGTAGAAATGGATTTCTACATGATAAGTATTCCTTCATGCTGTAACATGGTCAGCTATCAAGTATTTGCTCAGAAGATGTGAACTGCAGGGTAGGGTGTCTTTAAGAGAGTGAGAATACCAATGAGTGAATGTCTTCTCCCTCAGTGTCCAAATAGTCAATACATAAGAAGGAAAATCAGCAGTTCTCAGACTTAAAGGTACATAAAAATCTCCTGAGTTTTTAAAAAAGCAAATCTCTATCACACTGCCTCATACCTATTCAGGAGAATCGAGAGGGCCTGTGACAGCTGATTCTGATCCAGGTCATCCAAGGACCGCACTTTGAGAAATAGTGAGATAATCCCTTGATTTAGTTTGCACTTAATGTTCACTTACTATTTGAATATAAAAATGGATACAAGATTACCTCATCATTGAGCCAGTTCAGATGGTTTAGAGTCTGTATATCTTTGCGAGTAATGGTCAAGCGGAATGCTTCACTCAGAACTTCATCCTGGTTCCCATTACGAAATACACTCTTTATTTCTTTCTCCATTTCCTAAAGAATCAAGAAGGTTCAGAGATCAAGCATATATGGCTTCAGACACATCGGATTTCTCAACAAGCTCCATACAATCCCCAGACTATTTATCATTAATCAACTGTTTACCTCTAACATTTTGGTTTCTATTCCTTCCAGTAATCTCCATGATTATTTCCTTCCATCCCATCTTGTCCTCCTTTCTTTTTTTCAGCACATTTCAGACCCCTATTTCATATTATTTCTAAAGTCTGAAATAACCTGCTATCAAATAGTCCATGTCCATGAGAAGACCTAATCAAGTTTTATAGTTTTGGTCCAAATGATTTCCTGAGAAATAGAATGGTTCCTAAAAGGTAGTCAGGGAGTAAAGGTAGTCAGTCTTTTTTAGTCACATTTTCCTAGAAAACTTTTGTTTTGTTTTTAATGTAAAATATGGAATATAGCACAACTATAGTAAATGTGTTATACTCAAAAGCTATATGATAGTTTTTCAAAAAGAAGACTGGATTAAGGAATATATTAATTTAAAATGTATAGGGTTTTATACATTTTCCAAATTTTATACTGAGTTTTTTTTACTTAAAAAAATAGTAAGCATCAGCTTACTACTTGATATCAAACTACTGTACATGTGCATTAAGTAAAAATATACATGAAACACAAACTTATTAAATGGTTTTTCACTGAAGTTGCTAAAAGCCACCTATAACTCTTTCCTCAATTTTCTATAACCCTTTAAAAACAAAGCCAAGATTGGGATATAATAAAAAATGAAAGCATTAATATATAATACAATTAAAAAATCAGGTGTTCTATTACTTCATGTTTTAAATTCCTCCAGAGCATTCTTTCTAAATATAACATTTGCTAGTGCAAGAATTTATATTATGTAATTTACCTCTGTGATTTCAGGAAATTCATCTTCACTATCAGTTAATTTATGACCTTTTTTTTCTGTTTCTTGGGTGATTGTGACAGGGATCTCCTTTTCAAGAGGTACACGCAGATGCAGTTCTACTGAATCATGTACTGAATGTTCCTGTTCTTGCAATCTCTGAAAGACAGAACTTCAGAATAAGTGAGATAAAGAAACATGCTATCTCTCTATGTACACTGAGCAGTACTAGCTGGAAAAACCAAGAACATATACCACTTATCATCCAATGCTATGGTACCATACAATTTTGCAATTACAATAGCTTTAATCCCAACTCTAGGTAACGTGAATTAGGTTCAACTTGGATGTGTTAATTTTAAATTTTACCCCAATTTTTTTTACCTGGTTTTGAAGCTGTAATGCCAGCGCTTTCTGCTCTTCAATCTGACATAATCTTTCCCGTGCTCGAGAATCATAAACACTAGTTCTAGAAAATGAAAAGGAATATGACAAATGCAGACCACTCTCTTAATATCAAGCACATTGTTGATGCACAATGAGCATTAAATATAAAATCCTCATAAAGTCTAAAATCCTTATACTAACCTATTACTGTACTTATATTTTAAGACAGAGTGAAACCACATGATGTTATTAAAATTATCCATTTTCACTGAAATGCTGAAAAATTATTAGTTTGTGACCAAATGTAAACAGGTAACTTTTATGGATATTTGTAAATGTGTAGTCCTTTTTAAAAACATGTTTCTAAGATTATGGAGAAAAATGAAGCTTTATTTTAGAAATCCAAAAATGAGACTGAATCCCAGAGGAGAAAATAATACAAGATATTACTAAGGTTTTAATTCAAATACTGTATTTATGAACCAAAAGAAGAAATACAAGTTTATTTTTTTTCTTTAAAAATATCAACAATACCAGGGTGTTTGGATAACGTAAAGTGAGTTCTTAAAACTGGAGACTAAAGGTTTTCAGTGATTCTGTAAACTCTGGAAATAGAAATTAGTCAAAAAATTAGTTTTATCAATGTGAAAATAAGGGCATTTATTTTCCTTTCTATATAATTGCTAACTTTGAAATATTTTTCCAATTCAGCTTAGCTTCAACAATTGTTATAGATTTAACAAATCTGAACACAGAAATGTCCTAACAAAAGAATTTAAAAACTCAAAAACTTAGAAGTTGTTTTATAAATAGCTATAAATAGGAAATAGTTACTGACTAAAAATAGGTAGAGTGATTGGCTAATTGATTTCTTCTAACTGAAAAGGAAGTTATAGAAAAGGAAAAATGATACAAAAATAACTTACAATTCTTTGATCCATAGCTCTGCCTGGAAAAAAGTAGGACTATAGGTGGAAAAAAAATATATGACAAATGAGCAGGAGGCTTATGAGAAAATTCAAATATTTTCCCACGAAAACCAATCATTTATATAATTTACAAGAATGCTTTACAAGTATGGAATAAACAAAAGGACCTAGATTACATAATTGTAACTGGGAACTAAAGGAATACAAATGAGTCATCTGCACATGTAATAGTTAAAAGAAATCCCAATGTTCAGCAGAGAAATTAAATTTAGCATAGCTCCTTACTTGCATGAGAAACCAATGTTATGTGAGAGCATATCACTTATCAAGATAAGACATTAAACTAAAATGATTACTCTTCCTACATCGTTCAGACTGACAGATCTACTAATGATTTAATCAAATCATATAGGTTCTCAGACTCATTGTCAGTCTACCTGAATCAAAATATATTCAACCAAATTATAGTAGATACTGAAAATCTTCAACCACAGAACAGTCCATATCAAGCAGCTAGTGAGTCAATGAATGAACCAGGGCAGAGAATCAGCAATACAACCCCATTCCAAAGATGAGAGATCAATTCTATTCTGTGCAGTTCTTGCTAACAAACTGAATGAATAATGGTTAGCAGAGTTGCAGGCATGTTAACCATATGTTCTAGGGTCACTTGCTCTTCTCAAATTTCCTCAACTCCTTGCCAAGCCTTAACTGAAGGATCTCTCACAGAAACAAATGGAAGAATAGTAAAGTTTACTTTTCCAAAGTAAACTTTTAGATATATGGAACAAGTAAACAATAAAATTGGGAGTTAAGCACCCTGGATCTCCTGGAGCTGTCCCTGATTAGCTTTGTGACTTTGAGCAAGTCACTTCATTTCCATGAGCCTTAGTATCTGGATTTGATTAGAGTCCCTTTCACAGTTCTTACATCTCTAAAATCTGTCTTAGTGAAGGCAAGAACAAAGGCTCGGAGGGTATCCCTTGCCCCTTAGCCTAACTTTTGAGAATTAGTGTTCCCAATCATCTTTAGGATGGGGTTTGGAAATGAAAATGCTGTTCTATTGTCTCCCCACTGTCACCAAGGTTAATAATGAGAGAACATAGGAGGTGAAAACCTATCTCCTTGGTTCAGTGAACCACTGACAAAACAACCAAGAAAGAAAGCCACAGAGATCAGTGGTAGCAGTGAGTGGCTACTTAGTGAGTGATGCTAAAAACAAATGAACATAAAAACACATTTATTACACAATATAAAAAGTTGGTAAAAATCACCTAAAACTACACAGTAATGAATCATGCTATGCAAATTTGTCTACTCCCCTTATTAGAATATATAAACTTAATAAGGATAGAAATTTTTGTCTTTTGTATTTACTCCTGTATCCTCTATACCAAGAATAGTGCCTGGCACATAGCAGGCACTCAGTATTTATTGAATAAATGAATAATGTGAGGGACAAGCACTTCTCTCCAATGGATCAAGGTATCTGCTGGCTTAGGAAAACAAAATGAAGGGTAAAAAGCAAAATCTCTTTGCTTTTCAAAGATATTACATACTATTTCTCATGTAACTGAAGTATACAGTAATAACTACAACTATTGCCTGAACACCTACTTAGAGCTCTACGTATAAAACTCTTCTTTAAGTGTACTACATATTAGTTAAGCCTCACGATAATCTTATGTTAACTGAACCTCAATACAAATAGATAACAAGGAATTATTACTCATACTATACAGTAAAGGTTCAGAAAAATCATCTGTCTTGGAAAAGCCAGGATTAGAAACTGTGTCTGTCCAATACCAAAGACTATGTTCTTTCTACTACTATAAAATACCTTTTAATAAAACAAAGGAGGATTAAACTAAAACAAAGATGGTGAGTACTTGAGCTACCTGAGAGCACTGCAGGCCTTCTAGGAAATTCATTTATATAACAAAGATTTATTTACTAAGTACCCATCATGTGTCAAGCACTATGATTGGCCCCAGGTAATAAATGCAAAGGTATTAGTAATTAACAAGATACAGGGATAGAAGGGTTAGAGGGAAAGACTAACGCTATCTGGAGAAGTCAGAAAAAAATAACACCTGAGTCAGATTTTTAAAAGCAAAATAAAAGTTTAACAAGTGGACAAGGAGAGAAAGGGAATTCCAGGTGGAAGGATCAGAATGTACAATGACACAGAGACATGAAACAGCAGGGCATATTCTGAGAAATAAGGGCAAATCTTCATTACTGGTAGGAGATTAAGAATAAAGAGCCAATCAACCACGCCTTGGGAAAGTAACCTCCAATTTCAATAAACAGCATTATCTAATCAGCCTTACCCAATAGACCATTTCTCTTTCCATCTCAGTTTTTAGTTATCACTAGGAGAAATTCTCCAGAGAGAAAAGGCAGACTTAAAAAATAACCATTACAGAACTGAAAGCACTCTTTACGATATCAACTTTTTCCCAAGAAAGAATACCTTCTTTTATGCGTTACATGTGAAACACTTTTATAAATGCTTTATCTGAAAGTTAATCTTCACAACAATTCAATAGTAAGGTATTAATACTGGCATTTTATTGATAAGGAAACTGAAGTTCAGAAGAGTAATTTGTCAAAATTTAAGTGAAGCCTGATAAAGGCAAGAGCAGAACCCAGGTCTGACTACCCACTCCCTAAAAGTATAAAGAATCCGAATTGTAACGTCTCCTTGTGAAACTATAACAAATAGAGAATATTTTTTAATATCCGAAGTTTAGAACATATAGGGGTGCTGCAAAGTAACCAACTGAGTAGAAAGAACATTTTATCATCCCAAATCTTCTCAAAAGAAAACTGATACTATTATCATTCTATCAACTGAATTGCTAAGGCCATATATGGCAAAGACATAGAAATCCAAATAGCAACCCATTGGATTACAGAGGAAGAAGTACTTGATACCTCCCAGAGAGGTAAAGTTTCACATAGAAGATCACATTTGAATTGAGATTTAAGAGATAAGAAAGCGACAACTGCCAGACAATTGCCAGACAAGCTGAGGTAGGAGAGACATGTCAGGCAGAAAGAACACTGAATGTGAAGGTAAGAAAGTACATGTCATACTATAGTTTGGCATATTATAAACACATGAAAGAGTAGATATTTCCATATGGCTCCTTCTTTAACCTCCATCATGTCTCTCAACTGTCACTTTATCAGACTTGCCATGATCATCCTAGGTAAATGGCGCCCCAGTCTATATATTACTGTGTTTGATTTTTTTCACAACATTTATCACCACCGGGCATACATATATGTGTATTTCTTCACTATCTGTCCCCCACCCCTCCCCTTACACCCCTTACACCCCCTTAGAACATAAGCTCCTTTTTGCAAATTTTATTAGTGCACTTTAAAGCAAAAATACTGGGTAAACTGCATAATATAATTACCATATGACTATCACTTTGAATTGCAGAGACTTCTAACTACTTATTTATTTAAAAAATAAAATTCCAATATTTTATGTTAAGCGTACCTGAATATTTGCAGCACTCTCCATTATTTATATTAGAGAAAAAGCAGCCTAAATCAATTTGCTCTGGAATTCCATAATTTGTACTTGCACCTCTCTAAAAGAGATTTATACATAGCTATCAAATGGTTACTTTGGCTATGTTATGATTTTAAATTTTTATCTGGATTTAATTTTAATGTACCACAAAAATAAAATTTATTGGTTTCTTTATACTAGTATCTTACCTGATTATTAATATTCAATAATTTGCAGAATACTAACTAGAGGTACACATTCTTCAATTAAATACAAGTGTGTAGATTACAAGGCACCCATCCTAATCTCCAGCTCACTCCATCCCTGCCGCATTCCTGGAAATATTCTAGATTTGATGAGTCAAATTCTCTAGTAGCTAAAGAGTAAAGAATAAGGGAAACTGTATCAACTTAGAACAACACCATGAATGTAAGCTCCTTGTTGTTATCCCCACTGTCTATACTAATACCTGGCACACAGTAGGCTATTACTAAATTACTTGTCTAAGGAAAAAATGTGTGATAGGAAGTAAGGTTTATGGAGGAAGTGCTTTGCATACCATACGAAGAAGTGTGATTCTCTGTCTGATAAGTCACCCTTGAGGGAATGTAATGAATGATCATATATTCATTTTTGATCACTCTGGTTGTAGAATGAAAGACAGAGTAAGAAACAATGCAAACAATGGATTGGAGAACATGGTGGGAGACGGAATGAAGAACAAAATGGAGGCTGGAGAAAGGAAGACCACTTAGAAGGTCATTGAAATAGTCAAACAAGAAATGAGACGTCTGAATTAAGATAGTTTTAGTTTTACATTATATAACTAAAAAAACCCCACATAATTGAAGAGACAGAAAACAATATGTTAATAATGTTCTTTTTCCAAAGTTTACCTGGGAGTTGGAGTCTGGGAATCTTTTACTTTGAGTAAAATCACAGAGTCTGATCCTAAATAAAGAAACACAAGAGCATATCATTATTAATAACAATTACACATGGTCACATATTCTAGATGTTTATAGTTTAAGTTCCCATACTTTGCTATGTTCTATTTCCATAAAAATAATATAGCATTAAGATAAAGGTAAGACAAAAGAGAAAAGAAAGGCAGGTCCATTTTCACTGAGCCAAGAATAGGGCTTAGTGAAGAGCTTGCTTTACAAATAACGCAGTCACTGAAATACAATACAAGTATATATTTCCTTCAGTATTTATTCCTTGGCTGTGTTTGTTCCCTGTGCTTCCTCTTTCTGTTCCTGGGGAACAAGAACATGACAAGATATCTTAATAGTCTTTAGTTCATGAACTACCATAAGACTGAATAAGGTAAAAGAGTGAAGAGGAAGTTAAGAGGGGACAGGGAAAGGGAGGGAGAATGGAAGAGAAGGGAAAGCAGAAAGAGAGAGACAGCTATAAGAGAAGTAGCAGTACAAAAAGTACAACTTCTACCATTCTAGCATTTATTTTCTGTGTTGGTAAAGGCAAGTATCATGTCTTTCTGAAATGCTATGATTAAAACTTCATTTAGAGTATTTATTAAATAGTACAAGGAAAGTAATTAAACAGTCTGATGTGGTATATTTGTCCCAGTTTAGTTGTATCTAAGCATCTGCCATACACTATGTTTCTGAAGTTAAAGGCTTTAAAAAAAAAAAAAAAAGACAGTTCTCAGTAAATCACCTCACAAAATTTAATGCAAGTTTTCATAAATATGTGTAGCTATATAATGCCACCGAACATTTTAATCCCCAAATGAGAATTTTAAGAAAGTGAGGAATAGATTTTTTAAAAATCAAATGACCTGAAGGAGAGTCTTTGAGATCAATCTATCAAAAGATCCTTAATGTCTAACCATTTAACCTAAAACTTTTAAGTTACATACCTAAATATATACCATAAATACACACATAACACAAACCTAAAGAAGGGGAAACTAAGCAAAGAAAATTATCAAAGCAAAACCTTAATTAACTGAAATGCTAAGAGATGGAATATTTTGGTTAGCTGAAAGTTAGGTAGAAAACTTCGTTTCCAAAATTTGTTGATGATCATTCTAAAATGCATAAACCCATTATACAGATTTTATAACTATCATCTGATTAAGAACCTTTACTTCAATACTTAATTGATGCTCCAAAACTCTCAGAACATCAGAGTACAGATGACCCTTCGACAACATGGGTTTGAATTGTGTAGGTCAATTTATACACGGAATTTTTCCAATAAATACTATAAAGGTATTTTCTCTTCCTTATGATTTCCTTAATAACATTTTCTTTTCTCTAGTTTACTTTATTGTACAAATACAGCATATAATACATACAACATGCACACTATGTGTTAATCAACATTTATGTTATCAGTAAGGCTTCTGGTCAACAATAGACTACTGGTAGTTAAGTTTTTGGGGAGTTAAAAGTTATACATGGATTTCTGAATGCAGGGGTGAGAGACTGGGCTGAGGCCCCTTACCTCCTTGTTGTTCAAGAGACAACTGTACTTAGTTTTCATTGTAAAGTACTAGAACAGAGAAAGTACTGAAGTGATTGGGCTGATTGTACTTTGACTCTAGACTCTGCTGAGAAGTTAATCCTTTGAATAAAATACTGTGTGAAATGATTTGCATCTCCATGTAAGAAAAAAGATACTTGTAGGTTTAGTTTACTCACAACATGACTAATTAAATTAAATGTACTTAAATTATTTATGTTAATTAAGTTACATGTATATTACAACCCTGCATACATCCAATGAAGTTACTTGACTATTAGGAAATGTACTTGAATTATATCAAAAATATAGTTATACAACACCATTTTTACCTTCAGATTGTGTATTTGAAGATGGCAAGTTATCTAGCTGATGTAGAAGAGAGTGGTGATGTTGGGATTGATGAAGGAGATCAGAATCTTTGGATCCGAATGAAACATCTGGAGTATATGATGATAAGGAATACACACTGTGGGACAGGTGTTCCTGGGTTGCTAAAATGCTGGCAGATCCAGATGATGAAGTATCAGAGCCGATGATCTGAGCTGCACAAGAGTTTCCATTTTTAAACAGTGGGTTTGTCAAAGTATTCTTACCAGAACTAAGACATCGAGATCTAGCAAAAGAAAAATATAGTTTCACTATTATATAATAAAATGTAAAATTAAATTCATTTGAAATATGTTTCTGTAACTCACAGATGTAAAGGAAAATGTGTGGTGGGTTTGGCTACAGAAAACTGTTTGCCTGTGACCATCTGTAGCAGCTGTCTGTAAATCTCTTTTTCTTCTTCTTGAACGGTCTATAAAAGGAAAAAAAAAATCTTAAACACATCCAATGAGGCAAGTGTTCCCAAAGTAGCATCTAGACTCCCAGAAGCCTTGCCGAAGCTCAGGCAGAGTCCTCAAGATAATTAAGAATTATGGTTCATTAAGGATACGCTATAAAATTATACAGGATTTACAAAAGGAGTTTAGTAAAGTAAATATCAGATAGTATATTTTGGAAAATTATGGGGCATATATGTAAATAATAGTGCAGAAAAGCTATAGGATATGAAACCACAAGGCAAGCAGACAATCACTTCTGAGTCTCAGAGATAAAACATTTGAGGACTTCTAAATTAAGATTCCAAAAAACCCATTGATTGCTGATATAAAAATCACAAGGAAGTAACCAGAACAGTCAAGATCTGAGTGCAATATCTTGCTAACAGGTTTCTATTCTATTCAGTTTTTAAGAGTATAAGTATTTTCCAGAGGCAATTTTCATCTCTAACATTTATTTATTTTTCTTAAGTCCCAATACTGCATTTAGGAGAAAGTACATGCTCTACAACATTCATTCATTTATTGACTTAAATACCTACTGTGCTCTAGTCTCTAGAGATACTGCACTGAATAAAGTTCTTGCCCCTCTGGAGCTTAACATTACAGTTAAAGGTCTCACAAACAAAAAAAACTAGTCAGTAGTTTAACAAAATTAAAGATCAGGGAAAAACAGAAAGTGATGGATGGGGAACAATGGGAACAGGTAAGATCGTTCTAAAAAGATGATATTTCAATAGAAATCTAAATCGAGGGAGGAAGTCACAGAAATTTGTAAAAAAGTATTCTAGACAAAGGAACAGCAAACACAAAGTCCCTGAGCCAGGAATGTGCTTGTTGTGTTCAAGGAATAGTAAGGTCAATGTGAATCAGAAGAGTAGTAAGAAATGAGAGGTCACTTAGCAGAGAACCAGATTACATAAAGACTGTAACCATGGTAAAGCATCAACTCTATATAGCTCCCCTAAAGCAATGGGCTGCATTCGCTAAATACTACACTCTACTTTTTTGTCTTTAAATCTTATATACAGCTTAATACAACCACCAATCTCCACAAACTAATTATAATACTCTGTGCCAGGACTAGCAGCATCTTGTATGTGACATTTCAATATGCCCATAAGCATTTTATTCATTTATAAATGTTTGCTCAAGGCAGAATGAATTCAGCAATGCTCTATGCAAAGGTAAAGAGATACCACTTTCTTTTCTTTTTGAATCATTTTTTGTTACACAGTGAAGTTCAATTACATTGTCAATATAATGTTACTGATCTAACAAGCTACCCCTTGAACTGAGGCATGACAACTAATAAGAGCTTTCCTTAAATTTGAATAGTTGAGTGATAAGAAAAGGTAGAATAGTTGAGCCCATTTGTCAGAAAAACAGACCCAAGAGAAAGAACAAATTTGTAATGTTCTGTAAGAAGAAAATAAACCTCACTATTTTATCCCTTAGACATTAATATTGTATTCAAGAAGACAGCAGTCCTCTTTTCTAGTGTTTGTGAAGAAACTGTTTATAGTACTGGGCAGGTACTTCAGTGACAGCACAAAAATTATAATGGTAATAAAAAGACAATTACCAGTCATAAAATAATATCGATGACCAAATCTGTAGTTTTTGGCTATTTTACTGGAGAGAATATGAGTATCTGAGGAACAAATTTAAAGACCATAATTAAAATAAATGGCTCTTTATTAAAACCTAAACTTGCTATTATACAGATTCTTACTAGATTGTAAGAGAGTTCTTTGCCAACCAAATCCATAGCAATCTATCTATATACAGGAAAGAAAGCTGTGTTATCTAACACTTTAATAACTGGTAATTCTGAACATTCTCCCTCCCCCTCCATATAAATCTTGACTCTACTTTTCTGCTACACCAAATAACCTAATCCACAATACAATGGGTTTAACTGTATGTTGCTT